TTTGTGTGTAGTCACATCTGGTAGCCCTCATTTCTAAAGAAATCAGCTGCGTATTCTCTTCTTCCAGCCAGACGCGATGGTCTGCTATCGTCTTTCATAATTTGTTGCTGCTGATTTTATCAAGGTATCATTTGGGAAAGAAAAAGAAAACGTATTTACAAAGATTCTTAAAAATAATACCTTAATATTCAATGAGCGCTTATAGCTTTTGGAAAGTTCTTTGTGTTTCTACTATTTATTTTTTTCTACTTTTTTATCAAGGCGAAATTCACATAACATAAAATTAACCATTTTAAATACATTCAAAATATTATGCACCTTTCACTTCTGTCTGGTTTCAGAACATTTTCATCACGCCCAAAGACGACCCTGTGCCCATTAGGCAGTTTGGATCTGGGATCTGAAACTGGGATTGTTCTGAGTCCCAGACTGAGAGATCAGGCGTGTGTGGGAGGCGAGCCAGGGAATTAACTTTGCCCCGTGATAACTGCCCACACTCGCTGAGCGCTGTCTCCGTGGGAGGCACTGTTATATACCTTTTCCCATAGAAACTCGTTTAATCACCACAACTAGCCTGGAATGCTTGTATTATTCCCACTTCACAGACGAGAAAACTGAGGCACAAAGAAGTGACATCACTTGCCCAAGGTAACATAACCTGTAAGTAGCTGTATTAGCTTCCTACAGCTTCCCTAACAAATTATCTCAAACTCAGGAGCTTGACACACAGAGATTTATTCTTTCGCAGTCTGGAGGACAGACATGCAACATGGTGTTCCTGGGCTAAATTCCTGGTGGTCGCAGGACCACGTGCCCCTGAGGGCTTCAGGGGAGAGCACTTTCCTTGCCCTTCCAGCTTCCGGTGGCTCCAGGAGTCCCTTGGCTTGTGGCTGCGTCACTCCAGTCTCTGCCTCTGTCTTCGGATGATCACCTTCTCTTCTCTCTGTGGCTTTTATAAGGATACTTGTCACAGTGGTGTTTACAACTAATTGATCACAACCGGTTGTGGACGTCTTATCCTTCTCTACTCCCACTGCTTCACTGGACTAGCCTTAAAAAAAAAAAGATACTTGTCATTGGATTTAGGGCCCACCCAGACAAGCCAGGTGCCCACCGCCCAAATTCATATGTTGAAGCCCTAACCCGCAATGTGACTGTAACCGGAGATAAGGTCTTTAGGAAGGAATTAGGGTTAAATGAGGTCATAAGTGTGGGGCCCTAATCCAATAGGACTGTGGCCTTAAAAGATGAGGAAAATGGATCTCTCTCCCTCTCTCCTTTTCTCTCCTCTCTCCCTCCACCGTGTGAGGCACACAGTGAGAAGGTGGCTGTCTGCAAACCAAGAAGAGAGCCCTCACCAGGGACCAAATTGCCTGGCACCTTGATCTTGGACTTCCCAGCCTCCAGAACTGTGAGAAATGAATTCCTGTTGTCGAAGCCAGTCAGTCTATGGCATTTTGTTATGGCAGCCCCAAACTAACTAATACACCAGGACAGTCTCATCCTGAGACCTTCACTTAATGATACCTGCAGAGAATATTGTCATAGGCTGGATTACACTCCCCTCACTCATATGATGAAGTTGTAAACCCTAGGAGCTCAGAAGGGGGCTGTATTTGGAGATGGGGTCTTGAAATTATTAATAATTAAGTTAAAATGAGGTCACATAGGTGGGCCCTCATTCAGTGTAACTGGTGTCCTTATAAGAAGAGGCTGTTAGGACACGGACGTGCACAGAGGGATGGCCCTGTTAGGTTGGGACAAGGAGGAAGGGGAACAGCCGCTTTGTCTAGGGGATTCCGCTGAGAAACAGATGGCACTAGGGGATGCTCTACAATAGGAGGAACGAATTGACCAGAGGGGGCTTCTAAGGACTGAACAGATGTTTGGTCTACAATAGGGGGTCTCCAAGGACTGATCAACCAGAAGGAGGTAGAAAGGCCACAAAGTGGAGATTTGAACAAGGCAACAAATGAGGGTCTTTGCAGCATGTGTGCAAGTAAGGTGACAGTATCCTCAAGTGACCTATCCTCATTAACCTAGTTACAAATCACACCCACCAGCGCCATGACAGTTTACAAATACCATGGCAACCCCTGGAAATTGCCTGACAAGGTTAAAAAAGGAGAGGGTTCCCAGTTCCAGGAATTTTCCACCCCTTTTCAAGAAAATTCATGAATATTCCACCCCCAACTTAACATATTATTAGGGATTAGCATAAAAAACAGACCCTAACTTTGGGGTGACGCTATTCCTTATTGGAGCAGTCCGCTCTCTACTGACTTTGAGTGTACTGTACTCTCCATACTGTCTATACTCTGTCTTTAAACTCAGGGTCTCCTCCACTCGTGGGGGCTGACCCATTCCTTTTCTGGAACACACTGTGCTTTAATAAACGTTGGCCCTTTGGTCGCATCTGGTTGGTCTGCTCATTTGCTCCATCAACTCGGTACCGGTAGCCATTCTTCAGTACTGGACACCAAGAACCAAGCAACACGGACCTGACACCTGGTCCCCATGCCTGAGAAGCCTGTGAGGACACAGGGGGAAGGTGGCATCTGCAAGCCAGGGACAGAGGCCCCAGGAGAACTCACCCTGCCAACACCTTGATCTCAGACTTTCAGCCTCCAGAACCGTGACAAAACAAATTTCTGTGGGTAAAGCCACCAGTCTGTGGAATTTTGCTATGGCCACCTGGCCAGGCTCACACCCTCCTTTTTCCAAATAAGATCACACTCGCGGGTTCCACTGTAGTAGCAGAGCTGGGGTTTGAACCTAGGCGCATGGTTCCAGAGTCTCACTGTTACCACTAGGTCCAGACCCACTGTGTGCACATAAACCCACACAGCAGGCCATCGAAAAGCAGGTGAGGAAACTGAGGCACAGGGCAGGGCCCAGCTGGCCAGCGCCCATCCCCAGTGACATTCACTAACCTGGTCTCATCTGTGTCCCCATTTCTCAGATGGGGAAGTCACAGCCCAGGGCTAGGGAGACCTTGTCTGGGCTCAGGCAGCAGAGACCCCCGCCCTGTCCCTGTAAGAGCTGCCGTCCCCAAACTCCACTTCTCCCCCACACCGTCCTCCCTTCGCAGAGCAGGACTGAGAACCGCTGGGGATTCAACTGGTGCAGGGGGTGCCCCGGTGACGGGAGGAAAGCCCCCCAAACTCGCCAAGTATCTTGGCTTCACGCTGGAAAGAACTCCAGAGCGAGCAACTAGCGACAGAAAGTTTATTGGGACAGATGACAGATCCTGCCACACAGACAGAACAGGGTGCTCTCCCAGGCAGGAGGGGGACCCCTTATGGGGCAATGGTAACGTTCTTCTGTGTTCAAAAACCACGTTAGGAAACAGCTGCACGTGACCAGCCTTGTCTTGTGCTCAGGCCGTAAGTGTTCATCCTAAGCTGTTGTCACAGAAAGGTGACGGAAAGCAGATTGTAAGGCACCCAGCTTGGTGAGTCATCCCGGGCTCGGGACGTCAGGGTGGTCAGGGCCTGGTATCTGCCAGCATGGCCGTGCTCAGGCTCCCCCGACCTTCCTTTCCTGCCTTGTCCCTGCATTAAAATCCCAGCTGTGAGTGAGCTGGTGCCCTGACTCCAGTTTGGCTCCTTTCTCTCAGCCCCGGGGTTGGGAGGGGGGCGTCAGTGAGTAGCACGTCCTCACTGCTCTGTGTCCCTCCCTGCCCAGGTGCTGGGGAGCCCCTGGGAGCCCCTGGCCCCGCCTCAGTGAACGGTGCACTGGAGGGAAGGTGGACGGAGCCAACGCCAGCCGGAGTCTCTGCTCGGCTGAGTAACACCCCGAGGATGTCCAGGTCCTAGTTTCTGGCCCCTGTGGCCGTGGAACCCCACATGGCAAAAGGGAGTCTGCAGAGGGGATTGAGGATCCTGAGACGGGGAGATGATCCTGGTTACCTGGGGGCCCATGTAACTGTCGGTCTTTACAAAGGAGCCTGAGCAGGAGCTGGGCGGAGGGAAGGGACACGAGCGACGCCCTGGAAGGGGGAGGCAGGGCCGGGCCGGGGCCGCCGCAGCCACCCCAGCAGCTGGGGCAGGCAGGCGTGGATTCTGCCACCCGCTGCCCCATGCCCCAGACTCCAGAAGGAACACCACACTGCGAGCCTGCGAGACCCACTGTGGACTCCTCACCTCCAGGACAGCAAGGGAATAAACTCGTGCTGTTTCTGGGGTCGTTTGTTCCAGAGGCGCTGGGAACCTCGACGCACCCGGACCCAGTCCAAGGGCTGCACGTGGAGCCGAGCTGGGGTCCCGCACTCCGGCCAATGCCTTCCCAGAGACGAGGGGGCCCTGCCCGTTCTCCGCCTCCCACAGTGCCAGGGGCACTGAGTCCCTCAGTAAAATGCCCTGGGGGAAACCGCCCGTGTCCTCCCTCCTCTCCCGCCAGCCAGGTCAGCAGGGAACACCCCCGCCTCACCACCGCCTCTGCCCTCCCCTGCCCACTCCGCTGGCCTGACACCCAGGATTCTGGGGTCGACCCCCCAGCAGTCAATTGGCTGGGGGCCCCTCCCGGAGCCTCAGTTTCCCCTGAAGATGCTGGGCCTGGAGCAGAGGGAGGGTGGGAGGCCTGGGCAGGTGTTCGGGGGGCAGAGGTGGGCCCAGGCCTGTCTCACCCCACTTCCCTCCCTCCCCGACTCCAATTAAAGGTCCTCAACGCTAATCGCTGCGGTTGACTCGCTTCTGGCCTGGCCTCCCCAGTGTGGCCTTTGTCCCCGTAATTGGCTATCTCCAGGCGCTTTTCTCTGCTCCCACCTCCGTGCCTGTCCCATATCCCAGGTCCAACTATGTGCTAATTGGGCACTTGGGGGGCACAGAAAGCCCCCTCTGCTCCCTGCTCCCTGCCTCCCTATATCAGCCCCCACCTGCCGCTCCCTCAAACCTCAGGTCCAGCGCCCAGGAGGTGGAGCAGGCTCAGGGCCCAGAGGGAGCCCTCGGCCTAATTCCGGGGCCACCGCCCCTCCCTCCTCACGGATTTGGGGGGCGCTTTCTAGACCACCCGGCAATGCACCCTGGGGCCCCCACAGGCCCTGGGGTCTCCGAGCCTGGCCCCCAGGAGCTGTGTGCCTTCGTGAGCGGGGCAGCCGCCCACCTGCTGCGGGCCCTGCAGCCCCGGCGCACGCGGTCCCCCAAGAGGAGGCCCAACCACAGGAGGTTTCTGCACAACCAGATCTGCAGGTGAGGGGTTGGCGGGTGGGCGGGGGAGAAGCCAGAGCCCTTGGTTTGGGGAGACCTGGCTCAGACAGAACAGAGAGGACCAGACCCAGGACAGGATGCTAGAACATTGGACATGCATTTATGGAGCTCCTGCTGTGTGCCAGGCCCTGGAGCCCCATCCTTGAGCAAAGCAGATAAAACTCCTGCCTTCCTGGAGCTCGTGTCCAGCGGGGGCGGCAGACAGGAAGGAATGACCACAAGAAATAACAGCGTAGTGTGATGCAGCATCATGAAACACATGATGCTGAGGGAAAGAAGCCAGGCACAGAAGGCCACCCCGTGTGGGATTCCGAGTACGCAGAATATCTAGAACAGGGAAATCCACAGTGACAGAAAACCGATTAGAGGTCACAGGGCTTCCTTCACAAGGACCACGGTAAAAAAGAAAAAAAACCAAAAAATTTAAAAAAGAAAGAAAGGATTATAATATTAAAAAAAAAAAGAGCTTGCAGAGCTGGAGAGAGGGAGTGGGGAGTGATTGTTAATAGGTAAGGGGTTTCCTTCGGAGGTGATGGAATGTTCTGGAATTAGAGGTGGTGGTCACACAACATTGTGAATATTCTAAATGCCACTGAATTGCACGTGTTAAAATGGTGGATTTTATGCTATGTAAGTTTTACCTCAATTTTTAAAAATTGTGTAATACAATGGGAGGTGATGCGCACTATGGAGAGAAAAATAGAGCCAGGAGGGGGTGCCGGAGAGACTGCCGGGAAGGCCTCACGGAGAAGGCAGCCTCTGAGCAAAGGCCGGAAGGAAGTGAGGGCAGTAGCCCCAATGGGTGTCTGAGGGAACAGCAAGTGCAAAGGCCCTGAGGCACAGCATGCCTGTTGTGCTCGAGGACTATAAGGCAGCCAGCATGGCTGGAGAAGGGTGAGACAGGGAAGGGGAGGCAATTACATTGAAGAAGAAACAGGCCCAATCGTGGAGACCATGCTGGTCTCTGGAGGGACCTGGGCTCTGAGCAGGTTGGTGGTGGGATCTGAAGAGCTCTCTCTGGCTGCTCTGTGGAGCACAGGCTGTGAAGGGGCTGGGGTAGGATGTGAGACAGCAGGGAGGAGGGTACTGCAATAGTACAGGCAAAGGATGACGAAGGCGCAGACCAGGTTCCAGGGGTGGGGGTGGGGAGCTGGGATTCACTCTGGGGCTTTTCGGAGGCAGGGCTGGCAGTGGCTGCTCCCAGGCAGGCCTTTCTAACCCACACACCACACTTGGTCCCTCTCCTGCTCAAGTACTTCCCATGGCTCCCTATTGCCCTCAGGAGAAAGGCTTTGCCACATCAGCCCCTGTTCACCTTGCCAGCCTCAGCTTCCCATCTAATACTTCACCACTCAGCCTCTGGGCCTTTGCATGTGCTGTTCCTTTTGCCTGGCAATGCCCTTCCCCATCTCTGTCAGCCTGGGGACCTCTGTGTCCTTCAGGTCTCTGATCTAGTCCATCCTCCATCTCACACCCATCCGGCCCCACCCCACCCTGTCCTGTGCTCTCCCCTCACCATATGACAGTAACCAGTGCTAAGCAACCAGTCCCTGCTGTGGACCAGGTACACCTGCTAAGGCCGCGACATAAAATATGTCCCTTAATGCTCCCAACGAACCTTCATGGTGGGTTCTGTCTTTGTCCCTGTGTTACAGACAAGGAGGCTGAGAGAGGTTTGATGAGTTGCCCAGGGCGACACAGCTAGTGAGCGGCTACAACCCCAGGCAGTCTGAGCTCAGAGTCCATGCTCTTTGCAGGTTGGCGATCCTGCCTGATTATTTCGCTTCCTCAGGGGCTTGATGATGGTGATGACGATGATGATGTTGATGGCGGTGATGGCGATGGTGGTGTTGGTGGTGATGAAGATGGTGATGGTGATGATGGTGGTGAGGATGAGGATGGTAAATGGTGATGAGCATGGTGATGGTGATGATGCTGCTGATGGTGGTGAGGATGATGATGATGGTGATGATGATGATAATGATGGTGGTGATGGTAGCTAAAAATTGTATGGCACTTAATATATATATGCCAGGCACTGTACTAAGCCCTTTTGTATTAATATGAGTTAATATTCAGTTACAATGAGTATTAACTCATTAATCCACCACACCAACCCTGGAAGGTAGCTGCTATAATAATCCTCACTTTTCAGATGAGGAAACTGAGGCACAGAGTAGTAAAGTGACTTGACCAAGGACTCACTTTTCTGCAAGTAGGTTGCTTCTCCCAATCAGCCCAGAACCTCTCCCCAGGAGGTCTTGGAATGAGATTTGAGTAAATGAGAGCCTGGTCCCACCTAACCCCAGCCCCACCCCTAAATCCTCCCTTCTGCCCCAATGCCCAGCCCCGGCCACACCCCAAAGGCCCCCCACGACCACCAGCACATACCACTGAAGAGGACAGCACACATCTTCCCAAACAGAGCATCGAGCCCCAGGTTCCCGAGCTGGCCTTCCAGCTCCTCTCCAGCCCCTCCCCAACTGCTCCAGGGCCCTCTTCGGATCTTGGGCCCCCATCTGCATTCCCTGCCCCCCCGTGGCCCCCGGGCTAATGCCAGCCCGCTGCTCCCAGATTGCCCAGCCTCCACCACTCACGCCTCCTGCACCACCTGGCTGGTCTTCTGCTGTTAGCAGCCCAGGCAGCCCCCCACACACACACCCTCTCCCCTGCCTGGCTCTGCCATGCTCCCCAGGCGGCCCACCACCCTGCGCATGCCCCTGGGACCCGGGCACACCACCCACCCCACCCGCCACCTCCTCCTCCCTCCAGGTCCCCTCAAGCCCTGCTCCCTCAGGAAGCTCCTCCCACTCTTGCATGTAGATTTTTGACTTTTTATTGTGAACATTTTCAAACCTGCAGAGAAGTCGAGATGCTTGTCTGATGCAGTGGTTCTCGAAAGATGGTCCCCACACCAGAAACATTTCAGCAGCACCTGGGAACTTGTTAGAAATGCACATTTTCGGACACCACCCCAGATCTACAGAACCAGAAACGCGGGCCTTATGGCCCAGGAACCTGTGTCGCACGAGCACCGCCAGCTGGCCCTGATACGTGCTCAGGTTTGAGAACCGCTGGTCTAATAATCCCTCTTGTACCCGTCACTTAGATTTTACTGTCCAAAACATCTTAGTAGCTTAGTATGTTTAAACTATTTTTTAAACTAGTTTAAAGTAAATCACAAATGTCACGACTTTCCGCGCTGATTGTCATTTACACTTAGTTTCTTCAAGTTAGGGCCCGATCCAGGACCATACATTGCATTGGGGTGTTACGAATTTTAAGTCAGTTTCTCTCTCTCCCTCCCCCCGCCCCCC